AAAAGAGCCCTTCTTGACGTGGGAGGAAATGTGCATGAGTTTTTCGAAAAAGTGGTTGGGGGTGCGAGACCTACGCATGTCGAAGGCTTAAAGAAGCCTCCAGCTGGTTTGCATGATCTGATGCAGCGTTGCTGGGACGAAAAACCTGATAATCGACCAGATGCGAGAGAGTGTCACGAGAGGTTGACTCAACTCTCTCAGGAAGTTGGCGCACCATCTTCGTAAACACTGGTTATTAGGCAACCACCTTGAATTTGTTTACTTTTCAAGTGTAGACTGTTTTGGAGCAACAGTGATTTAAAGTGTTGTAAGATATCCCATATGACTCTTATAGCAAATATATTAGCTTCACCCGCGCCAAGTTTCCCGTTTCAAACTTAGTTCGTACATCATAGAAACCTATTCTGGTCTCAGTCAGTGCTAAGGACTTCTATCGAGATCAGTGTCATTTAAGATGATTCCGTGAGGCCTAAGCGCACAGATGTAGGTGGCACCTCTGTTGCTTTGTCTGTGAGACGATCTTTTTTTACGGTACAGGGTTGTCAGTCCATTGCCCTGCTCTTAGCCTAAAAGTGGCCTCGTTAGGCATGAAAATTAACGCAAGAAGTGTATGAAATACATAGATTCTTACGCAGTGAGTTGACGGAATGCAGGAGTGGTGCATGGCAGTTCTCTAAATCTCTGCAGGATGATTGTCATAATATGTATACAGTCTTTATGTCCTGGTGTTCTCTAGACCTTGCAAGCGAAAAAGAGACTAGCGAAAGTCTTAATCAAGCGACCGTTCTCTTATGTTAAAAAGGCATAGTGCAGTCATATTGTCATAGTATCGTTAACTGATATAAACATACAATAGTTTCAATGATGTAGTAGATTTCTTTTAATAAGAGCTGGCTATCATGAGTATTAATCTCCTTAGGACCTATTTTTTGGGGGCTTTTGACAAATAGTTGGCTTGTTACTATTTTGAACGAGGAACAACAACAATATTCTGAAGGCGAATATTGTTCTGTCAGCCTGTATGAAAGCTTTTACCGGATTTTAGAGTCAGTTTTACCATCTGGTGTAAGACACTTGTGATCGTTTACTCGTAGAAAATTTCCTATAAACGGAATCTAAAAATGGAAGAATGCATTGTGTTCAATAACCACCGTAGTTCCCCCGTTGAGGGGAGGAGCGCATATTAGAAGGAGGGCACTTAATCGAGGAAGGAAGAGGGGGCTATTTAAGTTAGGGTAGAAAAAGGACAAAAACCAAAAGAGCCAATGACGCACATAAAGGAGCTCTGCAAGCAAATGGAGATAGAAACAATTGGAACGGCCAAAAAACTATTCTCCTGTACTGATTCGCTGCAGTTAAAGCTTGAAAGATTATAATTAAAGTGGCAATAAATACGGGTTTACCTTGTATCCCAGCTGTTAACCCTTCAACTCCCCTGAGTGACCACGACAAAATTTCTCCCTACAATATCAATTCAATATCAAGCAGACAAGTGATAAGAATAACGAAAAAATATCAGTAAGGGGAATAAAAGTGGATCCAATACCAAATTCTCCAAACTAACACCACAAGAACTGCATGGGAGACAGCAAGGAGAATTACTAATGAGATCTTGGGAATTAAAGGGTTAAAGAAATTGAGGAAAGACGGGGGACGCTTATTCGAGATGGGCGCTTTTTGGACATTATGGTCTAAGGGGTGGACGCTTAGTCGGGGGAGGGGGCCTTATTCGAGGAAGCCTTGAGTAGTAGGCGTTTGATGGTGGTTTGATGTTGGGAGCTCGAGTATTGATCAGGAAGATATTTCTCTGTACCTCTCTGCGATCGGCCTTGCCTTAAGGAAGGGAAAAACTTTCAAAACCAGATCACCGATGTACCCTTTCGTCACTCCTTCCATCGATTCCCGTATCCTTTCAGCCATTCTTTCTTTTTTTCTATTTATGTAGTCCACAAAAAGTGACGAGGAAGCTTTAGATACATAGACACATCGTCGACGTCGTTGTTTCTTTAATTCCATATATATTGCCCTTTTACAAGACAAAATCTTAAAGATTAAAATCGATTGACTAAATTTCGGGGTTGTTATAGTTGAGATCCTAGGAACTTTTGAATCCCCCACCAAAAATGAAAAGACAAAGGCGTACCTTCAAGAAGCCTCCGCATTCATTTCCTTCATCAGTGGTGTATATGACGGAGGAATGCATAGAGACAAGGTAATTTTGTACGGTACAACAAAAGATTTTTTAAAAAAATCTACAAACAACAAAAGTAAAAACTCACATGTTGTGGAACTTTCCCAAAACGTCCACCTTACAGGAAGGGGGGAGTTATTTTTGTTTTTTTGTCAACCCTTTCGCTCCCAAGATCTCATTGGTAATTCTCCTTAATGTCTGCCATACCATTCTTCTGATGTTATATAGTTCAGAGAATTTGGTATGAGTGTTTGAAGAAATTGCAGAGAATAGCTTTGAATTGGTTATTTGTTAATTGATTCACAGGTCAAAAGGTGATTCAAACAATAAGTTTGTAGTTACAGGCTTTGCTGAATTTCTGCTGTTCGCGCTAACTCGTGATGTTCTATTTTTTAGGTGCTTTATTACCTTCTTTCACGTATGGCCTATAGCACCAAAGCAACTCTACGCGATCCTTCAGTAGCAGAGGTGATGAACTTTGTGACTGAAAGTCAGCAGTGCGCGGTAGACAAAGAGCTGAACTCGACAATCAAAACCTCGGCTGCCCGGGAATTGTCCAAATTCCTTAACTCCCCAGAACTTCAACAATATTTTACTTTGTGGTCATTAGATAATGTACCAGACGTCGGGGGTGATTGGAATGTGACAGAGGAAAATATTAAAAGAGCATTAGTGAAACGACTTCAGGAGAAGATCGAAGAGTGGGAGATACAGACCAATGTTTTCGCAGAATCTCGCACTTTACTGACACAGAGCCTGTTACGGTATTTCAAATGAGTTGAGCGACAGAATCAAAATGTTCAGAACTCCCCTAAAGCGGATACTGTAGCCACCTCATCAAAAACTGGTCCACAGACTTCCACAGACTTGACAGAAACAGTCATTATGGGAGTCACGAGTCCCATCTGGGTTCCCGTCGGCTTCGTTGCTCTTTTATTCAGTGCTCCGGTAATTTGAACTATGGCCGCCAAAGAAAGGTTGGATAATCGGAGTAAAACAAATGAGCACAAGGAAAACAAGTGCAAGTTCATGGCGGAGGCCTCTCAAGAATATCTCACAAAGATGGCTGACGAACAACAAGTTATGTCCCTCGTCGAGGAAGAGTTAAAAACTTAAAAACTCTTGTTACAGCAGAAACGTTTACAGCAAGATGCTAGAGACTTATACATAAAAACTTCAGTTTTAAGGGGAAGGATGTCCGACTTTGGCATCAAAGAAGTAGGTACCATGGACATCAGTTGGGAGGACTTAGGATGAAAAAACGACCGAGGATCACCTCTTGGAAGTGGTTCTTTTGCTTCCGTTTATCGAGGAACCTTAAAGCTGGACGTGGCACTGAAATTGTGGGAAAAGGCACTGAATAGAGGCAGTGCCATAAACTTCTTTTCTGAAACAGATACCCTAAGGTTAGTTTATTCAGTTTTACAGTTGTTGTTGTTTTTGTATCCACTGTTATGTTAGCGAAGGCGACGGCGGAACTTATTTTAATTCAACTGAGGAGGCTTGAAAACGTGCGCCGGGGACGCTAATTTGCGGGGATCTGGGGCCAATTTCCTCCCCAGTATTGAAATACATTCCTCCTACGTACGTCAGGCTAAAAACAAAATAAAATGGGGGGCTAAAGTTGTTGACGACTTCTGCTCACCCAAGTTGTCTGCGAATCCACCTGAGTTGCGGGCGAACTCACCTACGTCGTGAACGAAAGGTGTAAACAAACCACTGACTCAGGTTGCTTGCGAAATCACTTAAAGTTGTCACTGAAGTAACCTGAGTTGCTACCGAGCTAACTTAGGTTGCCAGCAGACTCACTTCTCCTATTTTGTTGGCGACTGAACCAACCTAACTTGTTAGCGAACCAAACTTAGCTGTCAGCAAACTCGGCTACTTGTTAACAAACCAACCTAAGTTGTTAGCGAACTAATTTGAGGTATTGGCGAACTTATCTGTAAGTTTTTGGCGAGCCCAACTAACTTGTATTGCACCAACCTGAGTTATGAGCTCACCTAACTTGAGTTGTCAGCCTGCAAACCTAGGTTGGTTGCGAACAAAGCTACGTTTAATTTTTAGCGTACCATCTAAAGTTGTGAGCGAACTCAGTTAAGCCTTTAGCGAACCAGCTTGAAACGTTAACGAACTAGCATAGGACTTCAGTAAACGAGGTAACTGTGGGTCGGTTCCCTAAATTATGGTTGGTTAATTCGTCAAGGTCTGGTACTTCGATTCCCCTGATGCTTTCTAACGCCAGACTGTGGTTCCTTAGCGTCTACAGTAAGTTGGCTTTTTAAAGTATTATAAGTCTGATGTTGGTTCGCTTACGCCTTAGGTTGAAATTCTAACCTAATCTTAGTTTGGTAGGGTAATGCCTCAGATTGGTTCGCTGACCTCCCTTGTCTGGGATTGTGGGCATCGTTTAAATGACTTAGTAAATTTGCGTTTACTGTAGTGCAAAAGGAGCTGGAGAAACTAAATGTCTTTAAGGTAGTAATGCCGACCGAAACCCATTTCTGTATCTACAAAATGTTTTTTTTTCATGTTATGAATACCCAATTGAAAAGTTTTGAGTTCCTCCCAGTGTGACCATTGTACACTAATTTGCGTAAAGTGTTTTGACGGGTATCATGTGTAGAGATAATAAACTGCCGAAACTTGGACGACCATCAAACAATTGTTTCAGAGCTCAATTTCCTATTGTGCCTTTTTTAGGAAGCTGAATCATCCCTTTATTGTTAAGATGTACGGCACAACACTTCTGAGGGAGAAGGGTGAGTCGTGACCAATCCTTGTCATCGAACTATGCAGGGAGAACCTGATGAAGCACATTTTCCGAAATCAGGACAACGTACGTGGTCTCTCTACAACAACTTCTGCCGCTGCTTCGGATGGGCAAAAGACATTGCCAATGCTTTAAAATTCATACATAATAAGGGAATTATTCACAGAGATCTCAAACTGGAAAACACATTGGTAGGTAGGAGATAATCAGATGCGTGCACAATGATGGAGGTCAAGGGTTCTTTCGTCCTCACATAGCAGGACAATAAAAATAGCCTCTGTCGAACAAATGCTATAATATTCTCGATGATAGGTTGGTGGGTGAGTGGCTGGATGGGTTGATGGACTCGGATTATGATGGACTCGGAATCTGAGTCGTACAGTCTCGTACTACGCACGATAGACTAGTCACCTGATGGAGTAACTTCTTCTATAAAGGGGGTAAGTTTCTAAAGAAACTGTGGTGCTGCGTCGGTGGGAGAGTATAACAGGGTAATTTAGTGTTATCAACTGAGTTGATGACGTAAATTGGCCACCGTAAAGAGTTATAAGGCTGACGTTTTAGCCCTTCGTCAGAGCGACTGATGAAGGGGTTAGTTCACCGATGCAGCAGCACGGTTTCTTTAGACACTTACCTCCTTTAGTCATTTGTCTTTTAATTGCTGCAACCACTAACTCTTGCCTCAGCCTTTTAACTCTTTACGGTGACCAATTTAGGTTATAAACTCAGTTGAAAACCCTAAATTACCCTGTTAACTTATTTTATGGTTTGGTAGGTGAATCATTTTTGTATATAAATATCTATCAAGTTTTCTAGATAATTAGCAAGCTCTTAACAGTTTTCACAGTTGGATATGACCATTGTGACACGCAGACACTACAGCGTTGATATTTAAGAGTAAAGAAAGAGTAGTAGAGTAGCTAACTAATTTGGTAATCATTGTTTTCTTTACATTTTAGTTATCGTATGATGATGTTGTCAAAGTAGCCGATGTCGGCCTATCTAAAGAAGAAGACATGATCACAGGTACTCAAATGGGAACTCCAAACTACATGGCTCCAGAGGTGGCGTCCTTCAGACGCTACGACCGCAAAGCGGATATATATAGCTTTGGTGTAATGCTATGGGAGATGTGGTATGGTAAGAGAGCCTTTCATGGCATTGCTCCCAAGGATCTCCAGGAACAAGTGGCTCAAGGTGTAAGACCGGAGCATGTTCAAGACAGTAGGGAGCCTCCAAATGAGTGGCGAGATCTGATGCAGCGTTGCTGGAATGGGGCACCAGATCAACGACCAAATTCTACAGCATGTCACAAGGAGTTAACCAGACTATACGAAGAGACCGCCCTAACTCTCTAATATGCCGACCGATCCGGAATTTTGTGGTCTTTAAAAAGCCCCCTACTCCATAATAAAAAATTGTAGAAATGTAGTTTTACTCAGTCATTTGTGAGAGGAAGGGTATCACAAAAAGAAACTTGTATTTGAAGACCTTGATCCCAATCCGTTTTATAAATTGATATTGTATAGGTTTTTAACTAAAGAAATGTATACTTGCATATGTCATTCGCTAAATTTGAGGAAGAAATGAAAATAGTTGCTCGCACTTTGGCCACCGATACTTTCTTAATAAGACCCCTTCCCAGCCAAAAGGAACAAGGAGGCGTCTTTGCCGTTTTTCGAGCAGCAGAGAAGTCTGGGTAGATCTCACCCTGACAACCAAACCACATGACGCATTGTGCTTCACAAGCATGAAACTTCTTTGACGATCCACGAGGTACAAGGTTCCAACAAGGGAATATAGACTGTTTATATTCTGCTGGTTCTAACCAGTAAAAAAAATGACACTACGAATGAATAAAGTAAACAAAAAACAAGACAGCAACGATAAAGAGAGAGGACAACCAAAGTTTGAGCCCTATAAGAGTTTGGGCTTGAAATATCGATTTGCCTAACCTCAATTTTTGAGGACCTGCGATTTCTGGAATATATCGCTTCTCTTTGAGAAACATTATCAATAATACTAGCACTGATTGTAATCAACAAAACGTCATTTCCTGTAACTCTCTCGATGTACCCATACCTATACTTGAATAATTCTTCTCGTAATTTACTTACTGCGTGACTAGTCACGCGGACTGCTAGACAAGCTCAGACAATGCCGTTAGTGGCAGGGATCCGTGACAATGCACTACCGTAATCAGACCCCCTGTGTGAATTGGACTGTGATAAATGAAACGAAACTGTTAAAGGTTTAGGTTTTTCCTTTTTTCGCAATTCTCAAAGCTTCTTTAAGCTTGAAACTGATAAAATTTTGATCATAAGTGTTCAAGTTGTTGATTTGCATCATGAGTGCATTACCAGACATCGACAAGATCGACGACATCTCGGAGATGGCAAGCACAATGGCGACACTAAAAATTTCGTCCAAAGGGCTGAAAACGTTGGACCAAATGAAAGCAAAAGTGAAAGAGACACTCCAGTCGTCAGAGAAGAAGTCAAGTTGGACGGCAAAGGAGGTGAGAACCCTACAGTATCTTTATAAATATGAACAACCAGCAAACTCAAACGACATTTTCAGTACAATGGCGGAAGTATCTAGATGTGACCCTTAATAAATGGTAGACGCAGACCATATCGTGAAATTCAGTAACAAATTGTTTAACAGCTCTGTCGACTCTAACTTAACTATCGTTTGCGATTTAATCCCATGGCAATCTATTCAATGATGGCATCTCAGAAATGAATGGTAAAAGAAGAAACCGTATTTCCATGGACGGAAATCGTAGCATTCACCCGCCAAATGTTTCTCTAAGTTCAAACTTAACAGTACGTAGAGCAATCTAAAAGGCGGCTAATTACTTATTGATACTTCCATAAACGATTCTTACAACTAAGTTAGCAAAATGATTGAAAATAAGAAATTGTAAAGTTTTGCTTCCACAGTCAGAGGTTATCATGCATACTAATGTTCGTAATTTAGCAAGCTTGATTGAACAACGATCGAGTCTCGAGGGTTCAAGTTGATAAGACGGCTCTTAGAACATCGAGGATTGATAAATTTTGGGGAAATCTGCTTCAATTTTGCTTTTTCCTTGTGCTTAGTGGTTGTTATTCGAAAACATTTTAATCATTTGGGAAAATGTTGACGATTGTATCAGGTTTACATTTCTTCATTTTCTTAGAAATGCTTGCGTAATTTCTGTAAAATAAATGACCACCAACTTAAAGCCTGGAGTGACCTGATGCTTTTCTACGGTAAAAGGAAGCCACAAATGTGTTCTACTATTCGAAATTTTCCGCGAAGAGTTGGAGTTCTTTCCTGCTGTGGCTAAACATCAAAATTTGCTTTTGCTCACATAATACATGCATATTTACATATGTAATCATGGGTAACGTACCGCAAACAATAGCCTATCGATGGTTGCATTGCGGCAGTTTTTGAGCTTAAACCAGCCTAATGAATCTATTACCTAGATTAAGCTGCGCTCAGAACAGCGATGTGTATCTAGAAGTGATGTTATTAGTAACAAGAATTTCCAAAATGACTGTAAAACGGTTAAATTAACCAATTAGGCCGAAAAGTAATAATTAATTTACACAGGCGAATGTTGATGCACAGCATTTGTTTCATTTTGTGCCATTTATCAGGCCTTTTCAGTGTTGACGGAGGCAAAGAAAGAAGACGAGAGAAAACGAGCAACCTTGCTCAATTTCTACGAACGCACGGATGTTTGCTTGCAAAGTATGGATGGAAAAGTTCATGCCCTTTTGGAACAGAACATCGGAAACCTCAAGGAAAAAATCGCTTCCCACAAACAAAATCTGCTGAAAAAAGAGTACATTGTTCTTGTTGCAGGTTTGTTATATGTAAACAATTTGACTGCCATTGCTTTGAAATTTTAGTTTCGCCAACTTCCTCAACCAATAGACTTAAATTCAAGACTAACAAAGAAAAAAAGGCTTCACTCAGCTATTATACTAATCCAGCCTCAACTAATTAGAAAGCTAGTGATCGAGCCATAAAGTAAATTAAAAGTATATTTCTTTGAGGGAATTACATTCAGTATATTTCATCCTTCCTTAATTGCGCTTTCGTGTAATATACTCCCTTAAGTTATATTAACCCTTTACACCCTAAGATCAGTTTGCATATTCCCCATACTGTTCTCTATACATTTCCTAAGGTACTGACAAGGAGACTTTGTTTAACAATCACGAGCTCCTTTACTTGATGATCATTTCCTTAATTCTCATGACCTGAATATGTGAATCAGAGGTGATCTTGTAAGGAGAAATTAGATGTTTGTCACTCTTAGGGGTTAAAGGGTTAACAATGGGAACTTTATTGCTAATATCTTCTAATCAAACTTGATAGTCACACGAACACTTTTTCAATTCTACGGAAACCCTGAATCTCACAACATTTAACTTTTATTGATGGACTAAAGATTACTCATTTATTTATTCACAAATTTTCAATTATCCAATTTGCTACTTGGTTCTTGTATGTCATAAGGGGCTCCACTGACCTGTCCTTTCACCTCACAACTTTTCCCAAACATCCTACTCTTAGTACACAGGCCCCCCATTCAAACCAGGTTGCAGCTGAACTTGGCCAGCCTGGTTGATAATTAAATACAACACACTTATGAAAAAATGAGTGGACAAAGTGGGAGTCTGCTGGTCCAGACCAACTAAGACTATTTTTGATAGTTCCTTTAAAGGAAGTCTGTCTTTTGAACGTGGCACATAATATGGCCAACCTCGAGCTGCTATCTGGGTGAAAGCTATATAATTGTGGACAGCAAGAGGAATAGTTTTTTATGAAAACAAATTAGAAGAAGAAAGGAAATTTTGTTTGGGATTTCTGGTGGAAACGACCGGGGAAGTAGATTCTCTTGTTCGACGTAACTGAAGTAGAATCGACCCATTCTTACCAATATTTTTTATTTCTTCCCTCTCTATTTTCACCTGTTTATACTTACCAGGCGAAACAAGTTCAGGAAAGAGCACTTTGTTAAATCTTATCCTTGGAGAGCAGCTTCTTCCTTACTCCTTTCTGAGTACCACATCCACCATCTGTGAACTAAGATATGGAGATACACCAAAGCTGGTGGCGCACTTTAAAAACAAAGAATTAGGGGATACCACAAAGACTGTCGTCTTAGACGAGCCATCTGAAGCCTCCGAGCAGAGTTACCTTCAACAGATTTCCGAATTCGTCCACCTAAAGACTAACAGAGAAAAGGGCTCAGATTACGAAAAGATTGAGTTGTTTTGGCCACACAATCTGTTGAAGGTTAGACATGAGCAAGCTCAGTAATTATTCGGGGTCTTAGAACTGACCTTTAGAAACATAATATTGATGTCAGCAAGCTTAAGAATGTTCGTGCATGAATATATTTTACGATATAAAACTGTCTTTTATATATTCCTTTATGATTGAAATTGATATTAGGGATGTTAGAGAAATTTAAAGTCTCCAAATTTCTAACTTTTCCCAAATCATTTACCATTCTGCATAGTGCTTGCACACGTTGTTATTTGGAATTTTACTTGGTTTTTGTTGCTGTTTTGTCACAAGAACTGATTGTTGACATCTCAATTGGTTGTTGTCATCTCAAATGAATAGTTGCACACATCTCTTTTGATGTATCCTTATTACGGTCACTAATAATTGAGTAACAGCAGTATTGACTGAAAGTCACGTCCGACTAAATTCTGATGATTAATTCGGTTAAGGATGTCAAAATGTCACTTAAAAGGAACAGATATAGAGGACATTAGATTGAGAGTTGAGAGTAATCCGGACTTAATCTCGCTCTGTGATTGGTCCAGAAAACTCATGCCAATTCATCAATCATGCACATTCAAAACCAAAACCAACCGCAACTGACTCGCGCTTTCCCCTGCAAAGAGTTGTTCGCTTGTTTTTTCTTTGGGCTAATTCTCTAATTGGTTGTTGTGATTACTTTTGAGTTTGGTCTTATGACAACCAATCGAAACGCACTCTAGAGAGGGATTCTCAAGGACAATATTTTGCTTCAATGACTGTGAACATATGAAAATCATGTATGTGATCTGCGGATTAAGAAATGAAAATGAAAGTGATTCTCGCAGTAATGAACACTTCTTAAGCAGTGGTGAAAATATGGCCTCAAGAAAATTCAGGCCTGTACGGGATTTCAAGACCGAAGATCGAAGCAAAGATCGCTTTCATATTCAATATTTTGCTTGTTACATCTTCTAGGAAAATATCGTAATAGTCGACAGTCCAGGAATTGGCGAATCTACCATCATGGATGACATAGTTAAGGAGTACCTTCCAGAGGCTTTCGCATTTATTTACGTCATCAAAAGTGACAACGCCGGTGGAATACAGCGAGATAGGGTAAGCCGGACACTTTAAAATGCGAAATGCATTGACTTCTTATTCCAAAAATAATTAAAGGAAAAATGTGCTGCAAAACTTGTATCATTTTTTGAATCCTTTATTTTAAAGATGTGTGAGAGTAACTTAATTATTCGAAAATTTTCGTCAAATGTGCCAGAAGAAGGAACTTAGCGAACATGAGTTGCTCCTGCATAGTGGTTACGCGAGGCATTAATAAACCGTTTTAAAAAGGGGCAATTACTGAACTAGCCAGAAAAAGTCGACAAATAGCTGATTCTGTCTCTTTGCCTTCAGGTGGAAAAACTTATCGAACACGCCAGACAGGTATCTCTTGACAAACAAAGGGAATCTTCCTCAAATTGTGCCCTATTCGTTTGCAACAAGTGGGACCAGGTGCCGCCAGAAGAAACTGATGAAGTTAAGAACTATGTCGTGACGAAACTCACGCAGTGCTGGCCTTCTTTAGATCCAGAATCTCAGATCATTTATATGTCAGCAAGAGAAGCCATTGAAGCTCAGAAGCTTGGAATGGTCACGAAAGAGTTTGCTAAACTAATGAAAAGTATTAAGTCCATGGTTTTGAAAAGTATTGAAGCAAGACTAGAGATTCAGTGGAGGTAAATTGCTTTGAATCCTAAGCAACAAAATGATTGTTGGAGAAGTGGCATCTGTTGGAAATGTCTTTTAGGTTCTGAGAATAGGAATGAAAAAAATTTTCATTCTGATTAGCTGCGTGAAATTCATTTTTCAGGAAACAAAAAAGCATAAAACGAAGGTAATTAAGTGCATAAAATGTTAACTTAGTGCGAAAAAAGCCAAGAAACTGTTCATTCTGACAATGCTTTGCATGAATAAACATAGTGACGAAGTATAAAAGTCAATTGAAAAATTTACTCCATTCTTAGGTGGCTTGACTATCTTCTTGCACGTATGGCCCTCCACACGAAAGCGTTCATTCGAAATTCGTCCAAAGATCGTAAAAATATGATAGATAGGATGATGTTTATCACTAACCGACTCCAAAGTATTGAGAGGCAGCAAGGCACAGTAAGCAAAGAGCTGCAGTCGTTCCTCGAAAAAAAGACAGACGACGCTGTGACTAAACTGTCCAGATACCTCAAGTCTGCAGAGGTTATGCAGCAGTTTTCTTCGTGGACATTAGATGACGCTCCAAAGACTGAAGAAAGCTGGGAACTGACTAAGAGTTATATCCAAAAGGCGCTGATGAATCGACTTCAAGAAACGATAGAAGAATGGGAAGAAAAGAACCATGTCTTTTCCGATGCTCGCGCCTCTTTGATTCCATACTTTCAGGAGAGGTTCAGCTACGTCGTGGGTCAACTTCGAACGCTGGAGGAATCTGTCCTAGCCGGAGATGCTGCCAGCTCAGCAGGTGGCCCGCTGGCATCGGATGACTTTAACGTCGCCGAAAAAGTCATCATCGGGGTCACAAGTCCAATTTGGGTTCCAGTTGGTCTGGTTGTCCTGGTGGTCAGTGTCCCGGTAGTTGGCGCCATAGCAGTTAAAGAGAAGTTGGAAAACTGGAATAAAACAAGACAGTACAACAAAGATAAGTGTGCCTTTATGGTAAAAGCTTCCCAAGAATATCTGAATGAAGCAGCAAAAGAACAGCATCTAAAGTTATTCGTGATGGAACAGCTTAAAGAAGCTCAGGTTTGTCTTAAGCAGGTCTTAGATCGGATCCCTCAGCTCATAGAAGCGGACAAAATGCTGTGTCAACAGTTGAGAGATGAGAACCGTTCTAAGAAGGAAGTAGAAGACTTCTACAAACCGTTACAAGAGATGAGTGTGCTAATAAGGGATGAGATGGCCCTGTTTGGCATCAAAGAGGTCCGCAAAATGGACTTTAGCTGCGACGATCTGGAGTGGAAAGACGATGCACTCCTTGGAGGTGGAGCGTTCGCTGCTGTTTATCGAGGAAAATTGAAGATACGAGGAGACGATAAATCCGTTGATGTTGCTGTGAAAGTGTGGAACGACGAACTCGAAGTTACTGTTAGTAACTTCCTTTCTGAATCAGAGATTCTTAGG